AAGCCAACCTATTCACAGCCTGCACCAATTGTTCGATGTCCTCCCGAGAAACAGGCCTGCTCATTCACGGTATTCAGCCAGTCGCGCCCTCCTCACCAAATGCAAAGGGCGAGCAAGCACCTCTGCCACCTCAGGCCCACCTCCAGCAGGAATTAAGGTGCCAGGACGGAAGAGGCTAGCAACTGAAACTGCCAGAAAACAAAATCCAAGGCAGGATAGGAGAAGGCCCACGCAGGTTCCAGCAAGGAACCAAGGGAGACAGGACGAGCTGCAGTGCAGAGGGCAGGAGAAGCGCAGGCTAAGATCGGAGAGGGTGGTGAAGGCCTCGGCGAACCTAGCAAACCTGTCAAACATGCCTTGAGCACGAAAAGGAAAATCAGATTTAAAGCTCATATATATACACCGGATGCGATCTGGCCTCAATAGCCCAAGCTGCCCATCAATCGCTCCATCTCACTTCCTTGACCACCCTTCTCCAACAAACAACCAACATCGGACGTGCAAACATGCGCAAACTACCTTTCAAAGGACGAAGTAAAGCTAAGACACCTGTATGAGCAGCGCATTCCATGGATTGATGTCCTGCATCACACTGACCAGCAACAACATGCGGTGTGTCTCAACGGTCTGACAATCTGACTCAAATTGTTTGACCAACATCGAGATCTTCGTTCCATTGTTCCGTTGAAACTTTAAATGCAAAAAAATGGAAGGTGTCAGTCAAATATTATAAACCACATGATGCAACTCATTCACCAGCATTGCCCCCTAACACAGGTCTGTTCGAAACCCTCTTCTTTCTTAGCCACAGCATCTAAGTTGGCAGGCACCAAATGATCCGGAAAACAGTCCCGATGAAGTACTCCAAGGCTATGACAATGACAAACTGCGGCACACAGTTGTGCACTCCATGTATGCCTGTCGGAGCTCCAAGAATCGTATCGCGTCGGGTCTTTCAGAGCACGAAAAGATCGGACCGAGCTGCATGACGCAGCAAAAACACAACCCATGTGTCAGCATCTGTTTGAGAGGGTGCCCCCATTTACAGCATGGCAAACTGTTCATATATATATATATATATCTGTGTGTGTGTGTTATACCGTTGACTTAAGCCCCAATCATGTGGCAGGACCCTGCTGCTCTGCCTAAAGTGTGGTAAAAGCCTGATCTCTTTCAGAGCCCTCCATTTCCCCCGCCTCTCAGTGAACCCTAAAGGAGCCAAGGCTGTTGTCCGCCAGGTGGTGGCACCCGTTAAGGCATCCCAAAGGGTGGCGTCACAGGCCTGAATAATGGCAACAAGGCGTCAAGCATAAATTTCACAAGCCATCACAAAGCACGGTTTCTAATTCTAAGGCAAAGCCATCCAGTCAGCAACAACAACCCAAGTTTGAAGGAAATAGCTGATTTCGCGGATAGACCAAATCTTGCAACAGTGCATAGGCATAGTCCATTGCAACTACCTCGAGATGCGAGCCTTGCACTGTTGATGAACATGTTGCACTGTCACGCACTATCTGAGAACGCGCCCGTTCAAATCGCAAGTCCCAACTGATCCTGCGCATGAATCCCCAATGCAATCAACTGGATCTCAAATCTCCCTGCTCTTTTTTTTGGGTGGGGGAAACTTTGGATGTCAGGTCATGGTTTTCTACCACTCCATGGTTTGACCATGGCCGTCCTCCTTTCGCTCGTTGTCTTCCCTGCCTCTGTAATCATCACCAGCTCGTCGCTCGGCGTCCGAAAGGCGAAGCCGAAGCGCAGGAGGTGGTGACACTCGGCGAGGTCCCGACGTCCGGTCGAACACCGTGCGACGGTGCGACCCACCAACTCATCCAATGTTTCAGAAATTGATGATTATATAGTCAATATTGGTCAACCACGCCTCCTCTTGAGACTGTCCAGGTGTCAGGAGAAGCCTCTTGGATCTATGCTCTGGACCTATGGAAGTGTATCAACATGTATAAAGGCTTTTCAAAGTTGACTCAATTGAACAGCGTTGCCCGTTTTCCAGGGGTAGGACCTCCCAGTCAGTTTAAGCAGCTGAGTGAAAGGATGGTAGATGAACCGGCTTACCCCTGGGGGCCTGATCTGACAAATTCAAGGCCCCCAGCCTGTGGTAGAGAAAACTGTTCCTAAATCTTGCATAATCAATCACTCAGCCATATCGAGAACAGAGTAGTTCAATACAAAATCCAAGACCCCTAAAGAACAAATGCACATGCATTTTAGCTTTACAAGTTCTGGCACCCCACCATTCAATTTCATGGCACCCACTCTCAGCGCACCAAATTGCAAGATCTTTGCAAATTCAACCCCCCCAGAGTCTGATTAAACAAAAAAACACCTGTACAAATCAGCCCTGGTTTTGACACCCTAGGGTGTTTGATCCTGGAAGGGATTTGTTACAGGTATGTGAAAGGTATCTTTATGCCAAACCCTGGGCATGAACGTCTGTGTTTGGATTCGGGCGCCAAGAAACGGACTCGCCCCGTTCATGAGAAAGACCAGCAAGTGAGTGCAAACAGGTGAAGCTGGTGCAAACTGAATTCCCAACTTCAGCCGATATAGCCCGATGCACAGGCTGAAGCATGGTACAAACGAGCTTCCCATTCTCCGGTCAAGCGACTCGTGCAAGCTCGCAGGACCGACCTTCCCTTCTGAACTGAATGCTCGCACTGGCTGCTTGCGATCTGTTTGAGTGGCTGCTCCATCTGCACCCTTCCCCCCTGAAACACGCACAACAAACGCAACTCATCTTCCTCACCCTCCCAGCATCTTGACCTGAAAGGTCTCCAGCCTCGGCAGAGACGAGCTTCAGCAACCGAACTTCTTCAGCGAAGACCTCAGAGCCGATGCGAAGACGGCTCTGCGGACATGTGTTGACTCAGCGAAGACGTTTGCGAAAAGAACTGGTTCAACATGTGAAAACACATGGAAACGACCTGAAAACAGTTCCAAATGGATCCTCCACCTGTCGATGATTCTGAGTAAATAGCACTGTACTGTACTGTATTCTCACACACTGATGCTCACTATCCCATACCGTTCCTGGGTCTTTGGGGGTAGACACCCCATCTCATCATCTCATCTTGGGCCTCTTGATCCTGGGTCTTCTTCATCCGCTTCACCACGTATCGGCCGAATGCATCGTCCGTCTTCAATGGGTACACCACTCCGCTGGTGCCTGACGGCTCGGCTCCGCTGGTGTGCAGCTCCAGCCGGCTATGTGGGTTCTCGTGCTCTGAATGGTCGAGTCGAATCCATCAAGTCAAAGATATCTGCAGTGCAATTCCAGAATAACATATATTACTCCCCTGAACATTAACATGGAACTTGGAACCACAAAACGACTGGTTGGTAGAGGGCAACAATCTTCGGGTCCATTGTGAGGGTCCATGTTCGTTTTCGGGAATGTAGTGCTTTATTTTGGGTATACAAGTTTTGGATAAACAAACGCAATTCCACAGATTATCCAAAGATTATCCAAAACATCAAGGACACCTGGTATATCTTGAGAACCTGCCGGGAACAACCGTGCCTTCGCCGATGGGATCCTTCAATGGCAGCTCCAGGCTTAAAGTTTCCATGACCTCGGCTCGGCAGTCGAGGTCAAGCAGTCGCTGCGAATCACGATGCTTCCCATCGGGGCACCGAGACTCTGAAAAAACCTTGAGGATCAACAAGCTCTTCAATTGGTGCTGTCCAACTGCCACACACCGACCTTCTGAGTTTTTTTCTTCACTGTAATTAGATCAACGTGTTTTGTGCTTTTGTTAGTTTGTTCAGTTCTTTGTATTTTCCTTCCTTTCTGCCCTTTGGTGTTGTTACTTCTTCCCCTTTTATCTACTAAAGGAACCGAACAGCCCCCAGTTGGCGTGTGTTGGCCGGTGATCATTTCAGGATCGGAGTTGTTGAGCGTCGGCTCGATCTAGCCGATTCCACACCATCAAAACCGCCCAGGCCCCAAGTTTTTCCCTTACACAAACACATGATGATGCTTGATCCATTTGTAACTCATCAAAACTATGCCAAGTACCCGAGCTGTATACCACTCACACATGTGTGCGCGTGCACTTGTGTGTGTGTGCACTTCTGCGAATCATCCCCTGATCACTTTCTCCCAGATGCTCATAGCTTGAATCTCATTTGCCCACCTACTGCAGTCACTTTCAGGTAGATAATATATACTTAAGGGGAATACTTTTGCATAGCAGTTTCTTCTGTATTCAGTTGAACACGTCAAATATCTAGCCAGATTGACTTGTGTTCAATGATACATAATGCAAATGTTTTTTTGTTGATGCAAGGACTCCAGGGAGGAAACCACCTTTGTTTGCAGTAACGAAGATTTGGGAAGCCATTGGTAGCACTATGTCGCACGAAGATTGGCGCTTTCGTCGGAAGTTTGTGGAATTCTATTCTTTGGCCAAGTGGCGTCCTCTGGGGAATGGCCTCTTGACAGGTTTTGAGCTGCTACGCAGCAACGCAGCAACGCACGCCCTTTGGTAGTCTGTGCCTCTCCAACCATGTTTGGTACCTCATTGGCAATTATGTCCAATTGTTTCTCATACACCTATACATACAGTGTTGTGTTACATGATGAGGATGGAAATACAACCAAACAGAATCCAATATCGTACAACTTCCTGGGCTTTGATTTTTGGAGCTTACAGTGGCTCCAACATCATCAACTGGTTCAAGCAACGAGCAAAGCATAGCTAACCAAGCTCGAATACCAAAGCCATTTCCACCTGCTTGCACAATGCTTAGGCTCCTTTGGTTGAACCCTCCGGTGGCGCCATTTTGGCGGGCGTTGGATGGTCCAATTGGATGGTCGTCACTGCAGTCGTCCGGTCGCTCCTTCGGCCGTTCCGGTGGACAGACGAGGTGAAACCGAGCAACGCCCACGGTGAAGCCGTCATCCGAACTGATCGGGCGGTGAAACCGAGCCGGGTGGTAGTTGAACACTGGTCCCAAACCTCTTAGAGCCATCTATAATTGACATGGACTACCAAATGCGGCTCATGAAGATTTGAACACCCAACGTGTGGGGTTTGACTTCAGGTTCTTGAGATTCTTGAGGCATTCCAGGAAGATTTTGCCTTGGAGTGGAATGTTGCTTGGAATGTGCACGAGCCACACCCACGGTGCGGAGAGTGGAGAGCCAAACCAGAAACATCCCAAACAGTGTTAAATATCAAATGTGTTCATCCGTCAGTCCGTCAGTCGCATTGAACTCGTTGTCGTTCGCAAGAGGTTGAATGATCTCTGCTCACTGCTTATGCCATCTTATGCCCATTCAAGTGACCAAGTGAGCTTAAACCTATGTCAGTGGCCTTCGACGTTACATACATGTAACTGTAACTGATGTTGTGACGGGAAGTCATATATAAAATATAATGATATGAATTCAAGAAATCACTATCTAGCTTTGGTGCCTCCATGTTGTGTGTATGCACATAAATATATATATATATATGTGCATACACTGTATACACACTGAACATTTTAATCATCACAATAACGTATGATCGTCCATCAGCGTTCTCTGCTTTCGTGGAGATGATGGTGAGATCCGCCAGCTGAGACCCACACCTCACTCAATCAGTGGAGCTGGCAGACCTCGGGGCATGGGGATGGTAATGAGCAAAGCTGCTAGGCAGCCCTACCGTAGCTGCGGGGAAGCATAAACATCAAGAAAGCATACTCAGTACGCTCCTACATTTTCCTACCATGGCAACTCACGAAAGGCTGGTTGTTGTCGCTTGTTGCGTTGCATGGGCTTCAAGAAGGAAGCTCTTGTTGATGTTCAATTCAGCTACCACTAGAACAAAAAACAACATACAAACTATTTCACCCTACATTATACGTAATTACAAGCAATATGACGCGCGAAAGTGCCTGGGCCTGGGCCTAGCTTCAATTCTTTCGCAATCTACTGCGTTCAAGCTAATGACTACACTCTGAACGTCCGTTCCCTTCGTTCCACCTCCACTCTCCGCGGTCGGTTCCTCGGCGGCCCCTGCGGGTCGTGTGGCTGACCGAAGGGCACCATCATGCGAAAGTCATCCAGTCCAATCCTCGTGTGGCGCCGTTGCAACGACCCAGCTGAGTTGGACGAGAAAGTGGATGTTGCACCAAGATGCACCAAGCATTTCAGAGGTCCAAAGTGACGCTTTCATTTTTGTTGTTCTTTCTTTGAGGCCAAAAGCGTCTCGCCGGTGGCTGACATTGCAGCATCAAAGTGACACTGGTTTACATTAATTGTAAAGTGCAATGCATACATGTTCCTACATCATTCAGCTCCCATGAAAGCACACACAGTTGCTTCGAGCGGAACACTGCGACCTGGCGCGTCCGTGGCTTCGACCGAGGCACCGTTGATCCTTGTCGCCATCGGCCGTCTCGAGGATGATCTTCGCGTCCTGAAGGGGCTTTGGAAGTGGAAAACGTCCATCCTTTTCAGAACAGCGACAAGTTGGGAGATCATCTCAATAGCATCTTACTTGACATCTTATATGTTGAACCTGAAGAATCAGGTGCGGAAAACTAACCATACTCCAGCGAAACAGGGCCAAATCACACGACACACATGTTCTGGCCCGAGTTTCACTGACACGTTGGACATTGTAAACTCCTTGCCGTTTGGGCCAATCCACTCTGGCTCAAGTGGATGGAAACCCCACTCAACAAGAGCCCCTCACAACCCCGTGTATCTTGGGCCATGTGCACCATTGTCATACAGTCATACATGCATGTCGTAGTGGTGTTCTTGATCTTCATGTCCACAGATTCAAGTCGCCTTGCCGGACCATGATGCATTGATATCCGTAGCGAGGTGGGTGGATCCAAACTTGTTGCCCTTTACAAGTCAAAATCGGCGTCAATTAAAAAAAAAAACATACCTGTTGGTTGAACACTTCGGGGTGTCCCCTCTATAAATCAACCAACAAACAGCAAAAGGCAGGCATGGTGGTCCAAAACTATTTACCAAACCGGGCACCCTCCTTGGCTCAAAATCCTATTCTGCTAAATCGCGCATCGCACACTCAGTTGTACCGCTATGTTGCACACCTGTTGAAAGGTAGACTGGCGCTCGCTGAAACTGTTTGCATGTCCATGCGCATGAAAAAGCAATGCTTGAAGCTTTCAGCAGGTCCCCCAATTCTGCACTACTGCATCCCAACTTCACATCGAGCTCCTTGCCTCATCCGAAATATCCCCGTAGCCCAACTCCTGGACAAGTCTCCAGTGGCATGGACGTTGATCGAACGTGTCGCACCCAAAGGTGCGACAACCACCAAACGCTGAAGAGTCCGACTCTCCTGGTCATGTGGTGGGAGAAAAAACATGAAACATCATGAAACATCAAAACACCAGGACTATTTGGGATGCGGAGTGAGCTAGTGCTGCAGCCGGTGCTGGAGAGTCCGGGCGTAAGGCAACAACTGCCTCATCTGACCGGCCAGATTCATCCTTTAAAACTTTTGTCAGCTGCATGCCCAAATCTCCCCAAGAGTCCTTCACACTTGATGCGAACCGAATAAGCTTTCACGCTGGTGCACCAAGCATGTTTCCCTACTCAGAGTGTCTTCACTACCAACCGGAAGGGGTATGACCACGGGAAATCTCATAGAACCCCTGGCAATCTTCAGGAAAATTGGCGCTTCTGTGCTTCCACCACATAAGACTTCTAGCAGCTGAAGTGCTTCGGGAACAAAAGTCATATCATGTCAAGCAATTATATTTCAATACCCTGCTGGAATGCAATGAATGTCTTAGCTCACATGGCAAACACAAATTATCCAAAGAAGCATCAAGTCACTCCTCTTTTTCGATCCAAAGCGAAGAACCAACTCCATCCCTCGCTCTGCCGCGCCGGCTCTGCTGCCCGCTGTAGGCGCCGCCCACCTTGAAGAAGCTCTTGACGATGTCCATATCCACAAAGCCGGTATTGTTCGGGTCATAGACCTCCAGGTTTTCTTGAGCCCTCGCGAAGAGCCTGTAGAGCCTGAAATGAACTGAACAGCACCTGTCTCTACTTTGGCAACTGACAGATTCTGGAAGGAGCTATGATACTTAGGGGCACTTGACAACTGTTATGAGGCCCTGGTGACCTGGTGCATGAAGACATATAATTCAGGTGTATACCATTGGTATACCCACAAAAAAAGCGGTTCGTCACCGCAAGAAAGGGCTCCGCCCCAACCCGAACCCCGGGGACCGCAGACCGGGTTCGCTTTTTCGCCGACCGAGGCCTCCGCGCGGGAGGTCGACCACGAAGCAAGCGCGAAGCAAAGCGCGAAGCTGCGAAAGTTCGGGAGTCAGTGCCCTAGGGATCTCGAAAAGTGAGTCTTTTTGTGGTGGGAAAAGGAGAACGCAAGGTACATGAGACATCGACATGAGATCACACCTGGCAAATGACAGTCGGGGGAAATGTGTGTTAAAAGGCTTCTATATCCCTTTCTCTTAAAATCCTAGAATCACTGGTATCTCAAGACCGCACAGATGGCCATATGGGGATATGTCAATCCCGGGACTGGATTGACTGGTGCTCGTGGTCAAATAGGAACCACAGCTTGAACACATGCACACCTCCTGCTTGACTGCGCTCAAGTAGCAGTGAACACAAAGCACACACACACACACACGGTGGTGAACACAAAGCTACGTACAGTACATTGAGACCATATTTCACAGTCACGCCCGCCAGAAACCATACACTTAGGCCCACCCCAAACCACAAGGGCCCACACTGTTATCTCAAGAACCACCTTGAAGGGGGCCATCCTGCTGGATTTTGATCCCATGACCTAAAAGGGACTGTGGGACTGGCCATTGACTCCAGATATGCTCGCGTACTTGTCGGCCCCAGCAGGTTATCAAACATAACATGTGACCAACGGACCAACGGATGAAGCACAAAGGCTCTCGCCTGGGCAGGTCATGTGACCCTACAGAAATATTTGAAATATTAGACTATTAGATTTATTGGATATCCATCTACATACATTAAAAACATGTGTGTTACAGTAAAATATGTTGAAGTATGTTGAAGTGCTCTTATTCACTCTGTTGCTACCACAACTTGGAACACAGGATTGACAATTTTCCAACCATAGCTGCATACCTCTGGGCGGTTCAGCAGTAGTTTTCTCAAAGATTTGGTTATTGGATCGCTAGCGCGTTTTTGAACGGCTCGCCCATCTGAAGGAAACTGAGCAGGATGACACCCGTGAATTTGGAACAAAGCCACTTGAAATGACCGAACTCCACTGAGGGAAACTCCTTGGGTGGGAGTGGGCTAGTTGCTATATTGAGAGTAAGGCCCTTTGGTAGGGAATAGGGGAATAGGATCGGTTCGCGATCTGCCCAGGTGTAATTAGTGGAAAACAGAAGTGTTCGACGCATGCCCGAACTGCCTGCACATGCCTGCACATCCACCGCGCATATGTATGCGCATAGCCGGCTCTAAGTGGTGCAACTGTTGCTGACTTGGGGCCACTTGTTCCACCCAGTCTGCTAGAATACTTCATGCAATCCCCTCTACCTGGAAACTGGAAACTGTCCAACGGCCGACCTGTTCCCATGCCTGACCGCTCCAAGAAGTTCGGACTTCACAGCTGTCGCTGTCGCAAAAAAGGGAAGAACAAATCGCTGAGCTTCTCGAATCTCAGGACACCTTCTTCACAAGCTGCCGTGGCAGGTCACCTCAAACAGACCGCGACCACCCCGATGGGTATTCGTGGGTCTCGAGGTTCGTCCGAGGTCCGGATCCTTCCGGTGACTGTTTCAGCCCATCGAACTGCTCGTTCAGCGCCGTTTCAGCCCGTTCCAGTGGCATTGGGGGAAGAATGAGGGAACCCCTCAGGGGTTTCCACCAGGAACATCCACCGGCATTGATTGGTGGGGCGTAAAAAGTGCGAACGGATGAAAAGGTGTGCCCTGGCCCCGTTCTAGCCCTTAGTTCAACATGAGGCTCGCGCGCTAAAGCTCCTTTTTACCTGGTTGGGCACTTGAGCCAAAAGTATATGGCATGTACCTGTATAGCGACTATACTGGGACCTCATCCCTATTGACACCCCCCACATCCGTACTTCGACGGGGAAGGGAGATGAGTGGATGTAAACAAAAACCGGAGAGCGAATCACGCTCTCAAAAGTGTATTGGAGGTCATCCAGTATGTCCTATTGAACTGAATTAGCAAACGATTTTGCATTCGCTTGAAAGTTGGATCAAACAGGTAATGGAGCTACAAACGGAAAACGTGTATCTATCCATGGTATCATGCGATTACCAATGGTGTGAAACACAATCCTATCTCACTCCCATGATGCCAAAATGGTCATCATGAATTACCCAAGATCCCTCAGTACTTGAAGTACCGGAAGTGGTATGTCGGTATGACCCCATTGCTCAACCATTTGTGAGTTGTCGCATGTAGTCAGCTCCGACAAAGCCAATGTAGTCCTTGATGAGCTCAACGTTCCTTGGGTTTCCCCTTCGGATCTGCTCCTCGAAGAACTTCAATTTCTGTGCTTGAATATCGGATACCTCTATGCCATAGTAGCGGCATGCAACGAGGATCTCCTTTGTGACATTCTTCCGCTCAGATTTGATGGCGGGGCTAATGTCGATGAATTTGTATGGAGCGGCACTTTCGTCATCTGGTTTCTGGTAGTAACTATACCGGCTCGCTCCAAAGGTCTTCCTGATCAAGCGTCTGATGAAATTTGAGATGAATGCCAGTTTCTCGATGATCTCTTCCTGGGTCTCAGACCTTCGAGCCTTTGGATCACTCATGTTACGCCGAGTGCTGCCGACCTCTTTGAGGTACTTGTGGCTAAGCCCGCAGCGGATTGCAGTGATCATCATCGGGTGAACAAAGTGGGCGTGGAATTCATAGATCTGCCACGCTTCTGTTGCATACACGTCGTTGGTCCATTTGCTCATGCCTACGACCTCGGCTTTCTGAAGACGTCTTGGAAACCCAGTATCCGGATCATTCGGTACTATTGGCCATCTATTGTATGGAGTATCATGCCGCTGTCCATCGTCGAACTTTCGCAGTACGTCATCACGACTCTCAAAGCAGTTGATGTCGAACGTTGCGTTGGCCAAGCTCTTGATCAACTTCATCAACCTCAGATCAAATTGCTGTGTGACTGCAAAGTTGTGGTCGATGGGGATCGCAGCTTCTTGCGGCAATTCGTCAATCGCGAAGGGGAAAGGCTGTGGAAGTTCATTCCCGTATCCATCTTGAGGGACCTCCCGATATTCGGGTTCGCCTTCAGCTTCGTCCGGTCGTTCCTTCAAAATGATAGGAACTTCCTCCTCTTCCTCTCCTTCGGATTCCTCGACATCAATGACCTCTTCGGCTGTCTTGCGTGCGTTCTTGATGACTTCATCGATGTTCGCACCCGCAGCAGAAGTTGTTTCACCGGAAGAACTGGCTGGGACATCTCTCGGAGGTGATCGTTGATCGCGGTCCCTTGTCTCCTTGGGTACCACATGCGTGAGCTTCCCATTCGCGATCAAAACCGCTACGCAGTGCGGACATATCGTCAATCGCACATCGACTTCGCCAAGACAGTTAGGACACGGTCTTGAGTCGTAGTCTTTCATTGCTCGGCGGTATACGATCTCCTCAAAGATTTCCTGCCACTCGGTGCTATCATATTCTGGGTAGACACCACTCTCCTCGATCATGCCCAACAGCTTTGAGATTTTGGCGTCGTCCTCGGAATAGGTATCGTCCTGAACCTCAACCGCTAAACTCTCAAGCTTTTGATAACGTGGAATCATGATCGGGTTTCCGTATTTGGACTCCAGAACAAGGTAGCTTCCAGGGTCGGGTTCCCTATTGAGTAACCTGACCCATTCGATCTCCTCAGGCTGTCCGGGTTCCGCATTGTCGCATTGCAACCATGCCCCTTTAATCTCATCGAAGGGAACGACGTCCTCAACCAATAGAGATCCAGTCGCTGAGATGAGAAGTCCGTACTCCTGCAGCTTCCACACCGGAATGTAGAGAACCACTGGGCGATCACTCAATGCGACCTTGCGACCCAGCCAAGGTTTTCCCTTGTAGCCCTGCTCCCAGGCCCATGGCGGAAAACATGTGAAGTGGATAGAATCCCTTCCCGATGAACCGAGACCTCCTGGCACTAGCCCTCGTCGCATGATTGAAGTCAGCGCTCCAAGATTGGTAGCGTGAAATGCAGTCACCATGGATAGGGCCATGTCGTTGGTCATTCTCGATCCAATGTGGTCGATGTTGATGGTAACGTCATAACCTCCGCCGTCCGTTGAGTGTGCTGAGGTTGCTCTTACGGCCACGGGAAAGCACCATCCATCGCTATGGTGGAGTCTTCCTTTGGAGATTCCCATGCCCTTGAGTTCGTCAATCCATTCCTTCTCCATCGGGTCATCAGGGTCATTGAGTTCATCAGGGTGAACGCGGACCGCTAACATTTGGAATCTGATCCTCTTGGTTATGCGGAAACACTCATAGTTCTGGTCGAAGTACTTCTCCAAACGTGCCTTCTTGGTCACGATGTCTATGTTGCCATAGTGATAACCGTCTTCCCAAACTGCGTTATCACCTAACAGGTCTTCCCATGACACCCATGCGCCTTCATCGCATTTGGGTGTGAGTCTTCCTCCTGTCCTGAACTGGCGTCCAATTCGATGCCTCAACTTCGCTCCCAATCGACGACTCAGGGCTTGGCTCGCTTGGCTGTATTCAGGTACTCGACAGTCTGGAGTCGGATACTTGTGATTGCCGTAGTCGGAGTTCTGTGCAGCGAAAGTGACTCCGTTGATCGGTACTAGCTCAACTTTCCCGACCATTGTCATGGGGTCGATCGGCTTGTATCCCTTCTCCCTCCGTGTCGGTAGGGGATAGAATTGATGACATGCCTTTGGTTTGAGGGAACTGGAGTGCACAAATGCCTTCTCTACAAATTCGT